TCTCCGCCCCCCCCCCCCCCCCACACACACACACACACACACATTCCCTTGTGGGGGATATGGCAGGGCACCAGGGCTTCAAACCTTGTACGCGCTGCTCAAAACCTATGCCCCTTGAGGACCCGCATAAGAAGTGCCTGAAGTGCTTGTGGGGAAAGACCTCACAGACTCTTGCAAAATTTGCAAATCCTTCAAGCTGAGGACCAAAAGAGAACACAACTCGAGACTTAAGCTTCTCTTAATGGAATCAGCGTTACAACCCCAGGCACCAGAGATGACACTGGCGGTAAGGAGTGCACCAGAGTGGGTGCAGGAGGTTGGACACTCGTCAAGGTGCTCCACGACGTGGAGGATTGGTTGGCACTGAAGCACTACTTCCAGTCCCCAGCACTGGATGCCCGCAAGAAGGTGCGGAGAGGGAGATCATCCTCCACAAGGGACATGGGTACGTCCATGAGAAGGATGACCTAAGGCCCCATCTCAGGAGCGACATCAGCATGGACCAAGTAGCAGGTGAGTAGCCAGAAACCTAAGGACCTGTCCGTGGAGGAGGTCCCACAGCTGTTGACTCTGGAGCAGCTCAGGAGCTGATTGAGTTCACACCTCCTCCCCAGACGCTGAGAGGAGATTTGGGTCTGGCACTGGCTACGCTGCTAGCACTGACCCCCAGCGGTGCAGGATGGCCATCCATGAGGGACGCCGGCACTGTATCGTTTGGCACTGAAGTCCACGGCCATGCCCTCCACCAGCACAGCACTGATAGAAGCCATCGGCAATGGCTCAGCGCAGCCAGCAAGGGCCAGGTGTCAGCTGCGGCACCGCTGTAGTCTTCATTGGACGACTACTCCTAGTCAGAGGTAAAATCCATATTGTCTAGAGCCACATCACAGCGCTCTGGCAGTTCGCGGAGGTCAAGGTCCCCACATAGGTTGACTTCCTGGTACCGATCCAGCTCTTGGCACCGGTCAAGGAGGTCCAGCCCACCTACGGTGCAATCATGGCCATTTCAATAGTAACTATTCCTTCAGTGGCCATTCTGGACCCCATGGGCATACCGCCAGGGCTCATCAAGGTCAGGGTTAGTGATGGCCTCATAATACTTGCCACGCAGAGCTACCCCCTCAGCTACCCTGCTCTTGAGGGACCCCGGGTCAGAGAGTAGAGCCAGCGCTCTGGGATTGGTGGGGATCTCAGTTTGCTTGCAGCAGCAGCCGCCTGCATTGGGCCAGGCCCCGACACAACTTCCCAACCAGAGTGGATGTGCCTGCAGAAGGGCCACCTCATCTTTGTCACCAGATCAAGCCTTGGCTATGCCAACTATGGACATGCAGGTACACCAAGATCTACTTAGGCACCTGGCCCAAAACTTGGGGGTGCAGGCCAAAGAGCTCAGAGGATGCGGACCCAGTGGTGGACATAATTACAGCTGATGCCCCAGAAAGAATAGCCCTACCTCTCAATAAAACCGTGGCTAAAATCACCAAGAGTCTGTCAGACCCCTGCCTCCATACCACCAATTCAGAAAGGGATCGAGAGGTGATATTATGTGCTACAAGCAGGCCACAAACATTTGTTTACCCATCCACCACCTGGCTCAGCAGTGGTACAAGCCTCCTGCCAAAGGGAGAGGCAAGGGCAAAGGGGTCCTACTCTTAAGAGTAAAGAGTCTCAGAAACTCGACCTCTTGGGGAGAAAGGCCTGTGCAATGGCTGGACTCCAGCTGAGGACTGCGAACCAGCAAGTTATGGACAGCAGGTATGTGTATAACTCTTGGGTGGCCGTCAATAAGTTCATAGCCTAGCTCCCGCAGGACTCTCAACAGGAATTTGCGGAGCTCACAGAGGAAGGAAAGGTGGTCTCCAGGTCAGCTCTTCAGGCTGCTCTTGACGTGGTGGATTCTGTGGCACATTCTATGGCCACGGGCATAGTTATGAGCAGGAGTTTGTGGCTTCAGGTCTCCGGCATTTCCCCAGAGGTGCAGACAATGCTCCAGGACTTGCCCTTCAAAGGGGTCAGGGCTATTCTTGGAGCAGACGGATAGTAGGCTCCACAGCCTCAAAGATTCTAGGGCAACATTGAAGTCCCGAGGGATTCACACTCCCGCCCTTCAGCATTGCTCGCTGAACCTGAGGCCGCAGAGGGGATACCATCAGGGA